GACACGTCCCAAGGGCGTATCTGGTACAAAAAGGCATTTCAGGTCCCCACCTGTCGTTTTGCTCCTCAGCACGGCTTCCTAAAAACACTGCAGGATTTCTCAAACATGCATGAATGAGTCAAAGCAAGGCTTTGGTCATGTTTTTATGAGAGTATAACATTATAACATGATATAAAACTCAAAGTTGATTTTACATGATATTGCCCCTTTAAAAGAGAACCTGTACATTAGAGCTTGTTGTTTTTCAGGCAGTTGATCCCGTGTCCGTGGCTGTGGTCACTCTGGGATCCTCTAAGGACATGCTGTTTGAGGGTGGCCCACGGCCCTGGGTTTTAGAACCTTCAAAGTTCTTCTGCACTTCGAGAGCTGAGGACGAGTCCAGCCTGAGCCTTACTCTGACCAGTCCCTCATCCCACAACTATAACCAGCACTGGCTCCGAGCGACCTGCAGGGCTCTGGGAGAGCAGGTCAGCACAACTCAAACACTCGACTGCACGTTCTGTTTACTCTTTTGTATCAGAATAGTTCAAAGAGGTGGTTGTATATTGGAACAAAAAGGATTTGTGCTTCTCTTCAGGTGCTTGAGGTGACGGTGGGGAACAAGGCCAGTGTGACCAATCCATTTCCTGCTGTGGAGCCAGCTGTGGTGAAGTTTGTGTGTGCGCCTCCATCACGCCTCACTCTGGTTCCAGTTTACACGAGTCCACAGCTGGACCTGAGCTGCCCACTGCTGAAACAGAACAAACAGGTGGTGAGTGATCTCTGCTGAAGGGACAGCTGTGTCCATGGGTACTGTTAGTATTTGTTTTACTATCTAATATTGATTATTGCTGTTGTTGGTAAATTTATTGAGCAAAAGTTATTTTGGTTATTGTAGAAGCGTGAGCTTTACGGTAAACTAACGTCCTTTTGTGTACAAGTACAACCAACAATGTTAAAAATCAAAATAATTTAGAGTTTCTTTTCTCACCCAGGTCCCTGTTTCAAATTATCGTAACCCCATTTTGGACTTGGCAGCTTTTGATCAACAAGGAAGAAAGTTTGACAACTTTAGCTCCCTGAGCATGTTGTGGGAGTCATCGAGGCCGTCTCTGGCCAGTATCGAGTCCAGTATGCCCATGGAGCTACAACCATTAGAAGATAACAATAAACAGATGAAACTCCATGGTAATGATATATTTCTAGATTTAATGGATTGTTTTGCTAATAATAATAAATAAAAAGATAAATATGTTCTCTGTTAGTGATTTTGCGTAGTATAGGATTCATTTTTTTTAATGTGTGAATATTACTTTGCAGGTCGTCAGACGGTTCTCGTCCATCAGCAGACGGGGATAGCAGCCATTACAGTGACGGCTCTTGGATATCAGGTCCCACATCTAGCAGCAGCCAAAGTTCCCAGTCCAGTAAGTAAAACCTGTGGTGCAGCATCCAAGTAAATCAGCTTTTCACTTTGTTTGCAACCAAAAACGGTTGAATTAAACACTTTTTTTCTCGTGTAAATCACTTTACTTGTTCCTCTTAAGGTCAACTCTTTGGCTTCTACACAACAGGCTGTTGGAATCATTGTGTCACAATGAAAATGTGTCTTTTTTTATTTAATGGCGTTCAACCTTGTCAGACCCCATAACTTCATATGGATTTTATTTTTTTCCATTTAAGTCATCATGTTGTGTTCAGCATTATTTAACAGGATGATCCTTCTAAATGGCTGTCGAGCTGCAAAGATGTGACCAGAGGGGTTTTATATCTTCAGCTCTCAACAAAATTTCTGTTAAAGCTTCTTGAGCTCGTCTCTGGAGAATTGACTCACTGAGATTTCCTCCTAGTTTTATACTCTGACTCTACTTGTTCTTTCACAGCCAAACCATGAAGAAATGCTGTCACTGCAGCAGCCAAGCACACTTTATCATCTTTTTAATGTTTTATGTAAATTTTTTACAAAATTCAACAATAGAGAATCATAAGAAATTACTATTTTATCTGTGACATCTACTTTTTTGTAACAATAGACTTCCACCCTCTCTCAGCAGGACAGTTGTCTTGTTTGCTCTGTAACGACTGAATATTGCTTTTGGAGGTTTCATGTTACGTTTTCCCTCCTGTACAACTTCAACTTATTTTAGTATAATCTTTATTTATTATCATGAACTGTTTGAACTTGTGTTTCTGTTCTGACAGTACGACCCGCTCACTCCTGTCTCTGCCACACTGGAGCTTCTCTTAGTTGAAGATGTGAAAGTTTTTCCTGATACTGTGACTATTTACAACCACCCAGATGTTCAGGTAAGTACCGTGTAACAATAACTGTGATAGCATTGATCTCACGTCACTGTTAAGTCTTTGTTCCCTGATGAATCAGCAGCCTTTATAACTTGTTTACTGAAGTTTAAAATATGTTTGATCAAGTTGTTTTTTTAGTTGATCATTATCTGTGTAACCTTAATGTTGAGCTGTTCTGTTTATTATCAGCAGTGACGGCTGCATTCAGTTTAAGACACACGGCCAATTTGTAAATCGGTACAAATGAATCATCATTACCCACTATCTCAAAAATGCAAGAGTTATTTTTCTTATTTTTCTGTCAGTAATACATCTATTTGCCTTGGATTAATAAGGCCATTGCAAACTGCCGGTATCACAAATGCTGCATGAGGTAATGGAAACGATGATGCTGCAACACGTTCTAGTGAGGGAGGTGATTCTGCACCAGCGCTGCATTCATTGATTATGCAGTAATTACACACATGCTTATTTTAAAGTTTGCTCAATTAAAAACAAAAACAGTTTTGACAGGAATGTCTGCTCATTAAATGATATTCTAAATGTAATAATACCTTTAATAAAAGTTGTCTAGAAAAATAATGGATCTTTTAGTTTGCATTGTAACCATTTATTTGGTTAAATAATTGAAAAAAGGCTGCCGCATTTCTATTAACTATTATTATTGTGGGAATATTTATTTAACAAGAACTTAAATACGTGATTCAGAGAATAAAAGCACTTCATAGAATGGTCATCTGAGGGTTTATTTTTTTATTGCAATAAGCAAGGCACATAAAAACCATCTCTCTGTCAGAGATCTTGTGTACCCCTGCCCCACTGAGGGAGTTAGAAGGTCTTTGATAAATAGTGTTTAACAAACACCATTATGTCATCTTATCAAGATTTCATCCTAAGGGCCTTGCTGGTTGGAGGCAAAACACAGAGATAATTACAGGTGATAAGTAAGAGTGACTGCTGTTAGCACACTCACTATCTACAGATAAATAGGGTGCCATGAAAAACTGAGTCATTAATGTACATCAGGAATTACTGGCTTAAAACTAAATATTTTTCCATTACAATCATCACTCTGAGAAATGATTTTAAATGTGGTTAATCTATACCATTTAAACCTCTAAACAAATTAGTGTCACACATGACACAGCAGAAACCTGGCCTCTTTGCTCAGTGCTCCTCCTTTTTTAATCCTGTCTTATTTCTGATGTAACCTAAAAGGTTTCAGTGACAATTTGTTCATTTTACCAGTTTCACCTCACTTTGACTGCATTTTGTCTTCTAGTTAAATCTGGCCTTAAAAGAGGGTTCAGGCCACTTCTTTGTCAACACCAGTGTGAAAGGGATCGTGAATGTGCTTTTCCAAGAGGCCCAAAGCACAGCTCAGGTAAGAATCGCACAACTCCACTGTAAACTGAATTTGTTTGAATAAGCTTCTCCAGTGCCAAGTGTTCTTGTCTGGTCCAGGTTTCTCCAGTCCATCCAGGCACGGTGAAAGTGATGGTTCACGATCTCTGTCTGGCCTTTCCAGCTCCAGCTGAAGCCACAGTTCATGTTTCTGACATCCTGGAGGTTTATGTGAGAGTGGTTGACAAGGTCAGTTTACAGAAAACATTATTATTATTAATGTTACACATTCCTGAATGTTTGCTGGGGTTTGTATTCTCTCAAATGTTCATTTTTAGTGATGATGTCATGCTCTGTCCCCATTAAAGCCACATTTATCTCCCTGTTCATGAGCATAACGCATGTTGATTACAGGTGGAGATCGGGAAATCTGTAAAAGCTTATGTCAGAGTCTTGGATGGTAATAAGAAGCCTTTCCCATCCAACTATTTCCAGTTCATGAACCTTAAACTCAAGGCAGCTTCTGCGATAGTTTCTCTCCGGTGAGTAATCCAAAGCCTGGAGTTCAGGTTGAACATGTAAAACCAAACAAGCCTTAATTTTCTGACCGTCTCTTCTGCAGGCCGTTAGCAGAATCCACAGAAAGTGACACAGCAGTGTTTCTGGTGAAGGGAGCTGTTATTGGTCAGACTACTCTGTCAGCTGTTGTTGTGGATAAAAACGGAAGAAAAATTGCCTCTGCACCACAGCAAATTGAGGTATAGCTCAGTAGATAAAGTCAGTTCATGTTTTTGCTCTTGCATATGTTGAATAAAAAATTTTTTTTTGTAAGGTCTTTCCACCGTTCAAACTCATCCCAAGGAAAATGACTCTGTTAATAGGAGCGATGATGCAGGTAAGTGTAGTTTTTGATGTTGGAGCTGTGTGAAAACAAGTGGCCTCATTTCCTCTGGTCTTTAATTTATCTTCTGGTGAAAATCCTCTGGTAAAACCCTAATTGCTCTTGATTTAAATATCCATCTTACCTGTCATTTCCCTCATCACATCCCCTCATTAAGAATGATTTATATCAAAGTAGTTTCCTGAGCGTTGAACATATTACTTGTGTAGTTTTTGAGTTGTGGTTGTTTAAAACATAGATGGTATAGTTTAATAGTTTGTCTTAAGTGATGAAATGTTGCTGTTTTTAGTGCTCATCTCTCATTCGTAGTATTTCATCTCTTTACTCTTGCTATCGCTTATAGATCACATCAGAGGGTGGTCCTCAGCCTCAGTCCCATATAATTTTTTCCATTTCCGATGAAGACATAGCTTCTGTTAATGCGATGGGTCACGTTAGAGGTGCCCATGTCGGTAACGTTACAGTAACGGGGCTGGTCCAAGCCGTTGATGCTGAGACTGGGAAGCTCGTCATCGTCTCTCAGGTAAATATCAACCAGTGATGGTGAGTCCTCTCTCAACTGTAACTCTTGAAAACCTAGTTTCTTTCTGGTCGTAGGATCAAGTAGAGGTAGAGGTTGTGTTTTTGACGGCCATTCGAATCAGAGCGCCTATTACAAGAATGAAAACAGGAGCACAGGTATGAGTAATTAAAAATCACTAACTCATAGATGTTTAAATGCAACAAGATTTTATTATTGAATCTCTGTGAGTGAGTGATTGCAGCTGATTTCATTTATTTTCTAGATGCCGGTATATGTGATGGGGCTGACCAACAGTCAGACTCCCTTCTCCTTTGGAAGTGTTCTGCCCAGTCTCACCTTCTACTGGTCCACCACCAAGAGAGACATTCTGGACGTCCAGCCCAGGCACTCCGAGGTATCTTTTTTTTTTTCAAGCCGTTCAGCAAAACAAACAAAACAAAAAAAACCTGACTGAGTTTGGTGGATAATTTAATTACCATTACTTATTTATACTCAGCGCCACTTTCCACTCATAACTACTTGACTGAGCTGCTTTTTACAGATACTTGTACCAAAAATTTTTGAAATTTCACTGGTTTTGACCAAAACATGTTTTACTTTCTACTGAAATGTGACTAGAATGAAGCACAAACTTTTATTGTTTTGCTGAGTTCTAAATTAATTCACAATAAAGAAGAGTGTAAATGGTAATTGGCATTTATTTAGACACTTTTCCTAAAACACTCACCAAACTCATGCTTTCAAGTTTTTTCAGGAAACATTAAAAATCTTGACTAAAACTTTAACATAATATGGAGAGTTACATTGCAATTGGACTATTATGGCAAAATAAATCAGCTGAAGTCACATTGTGACATAGGCCTTTATCTTGAAAGGGTAGAATCAATTGATTTAATCGGCTGAGTGTGTAGGCAGATTTACCACAGATGGCAGGCATCATTAGGAGCTTACTGAGGACAAAATGTCAGTTTTGCCTAAGGAAATTACTTTGGCAATTATTTTAGGAAAGTAATAAATTATTCAATTAATGGTGTTTTATTTTGAAAAACCTAAGATAAGGTTCTTAGTTGTTTAGTTCTGGCTGTTAAATGCTTTGTATAAATAAAACATGTCTGTTTTTGGTTTAGATTAAATGAAGATATGTTGTTTCCATTTTCTGGTGTAGTTTTTAAATCCAGTACCTGCTGAGACTGTTGTTAAACCTCAGTGCATTTATAAAGAGTTAGATTCACTGCTGCTATTTTTAACCACTTCTTTAATGATCCGTGTCCTGCGCAGACCAACGTCAACCTTCAGCCGGAGCACAACTTCGCCATGAGAGTAACGGGAAGGATGAGGGGTCGGACCGGGCTGAAGGTGGTTCTCAGAGTTACCGACCCAAAGGCTCAGCAGCTGCAGGGGAGCCTACAGGAGCTCAGTGATGAAATCCAGATCCAGGTACAGCACTGTTTAAAACCAGAGCAGAGAAAAGTCTTACCTAATATTATAATTTCCACTTAGTTATAAATAATTTAAATCCCTTTTTTCTGAACTACTTTGCTTATAACGACAATGTCTCCCGCTGCGTCTTCAGAACAAAAAAGCTTATTTTTTTCTTTTTGCACCGATATTACTGATGTTTGAATTTCCCTGTAAAATTTATGAGGCGATACCACAGATTAGCAGAAGCAGAATTCATATCAGCTTCAGATTGTATTAAACTATGGCATGTCACGAGCACAGAAACATCAAAGGACAACGAAAGTCCCCAATAACAGTATCAACGCTTCTGCTTTGATCAAGGTCTACGACAAGCTGCAAGTGCTCAGTCCTCAGATACAGGCTGAGGAGTTACTGCTGGCTCCAAACTCAGTCCTCAAACTCCAAACGAACAGGTGAGTTGCACTTCAGGGGGTTTTATCTCTTCACGCACACGCAGGAGGGTTTCATTGCCTTACATGAAACGTGATTTTCTCTTGTCGCACAGGGACGGCGTGGGTGCGCTCTCCTACCGGATGCTGGACTTGCCCGACCAGGTCGTCGTCACCCAGGTTGACGATAAAGGCCTCCTCTCCTCTGGCTCCCTCACTGGCATCTCTTCTCTGCTGATCACCTCGCAGGAGACGTTCGGCGTCAATCAAACGCTCATCCTCACCGTAAAGGTCAGCCCGAGAGCCACTGAGTGAAAGACGTTTGAGGTTTTGGTGTTGAAAGACAGTACCCTCCGTAAACTGACAGCGAAATACATTTTTCTGACCTCCTGTCAGAAGCTTTGCCCCTCGTCAAGATGTTTCCAGATTTGAAAATATCCACCTTTTTTAACAGTGGTAAACAGTAACTGTGGGCAGAGTTGCAGTGGAGCTTGTGAAATTGCCCTTTAAAGCAGAAAATGTTTTTATTTTCTGTTTGTTACACAGAAAAAGAAAACATTGCCGTGCATAATTTCTATGAAGGTTTTTGTTTGATAAAATATTAAGTATAGGTCATTCATTAATCATGAGCTGTCTAAACCTGTTCAGTGACTGAGAGCGAGGCTTCGCCAGTCTCTGCATGGCCTCTCTGTTTGTTAACAAGCCTTTGAAATGCCTGCTGACGGTCACTGATTGTGACACCACTCCTCCTCTCCACTCCTCAGGTGGTCCCTGTGTCCTATATCCGCTTCAGTGCCGGCCCCGTGCTCCACACCCAGACACGAGAGGGCCTGACTGCCTTTCCCCTGGGAATGCTGCTCACCTTCACTGCACACTTTCACGCTAGCACCGGAGAGGCTCTTCACAGCTCCAACTCCCACCTTACGTTTTCTACCAACAGGTCGGTCAACCCTGGAACGTTTCTCTTTGTGCCTAAATCAAACCGGGTGATAAAAGTGTCGAGTGAAGTCAAAATGCTGCAGTGTGAGAAATGGAGCCACTTCAGTTTTGAGGGTATGACAACAGAAACATCAGATGGCCCCTCTGTGACAGAAAATGACAGGAAATGACATCATCTTTGGGTGTTTTTCTTCAGAAGGATAAGCTCAGCGATAGCTAATAGTCTTTTGATGGTAGAAATAATTATTACTAAAATTATAACAAAAGTTCTATTCAATTTCAATTCAGTTTATTTAAATAACGCCAAGTCACAACAACTGTTGTCTCTGTTGTACACACACAAAAAAAAAAAAACCAATAAATCTAAAGAAGCCAGCAGACTGCACAGAATCGTAGCTTCGTCACCGTCTCCCATCCTGAGCAGCACACCTGCAGCAGCGGAGAGGAAAAACTCCCCCTTAACAGGAAGAAACCTCCAGCAGAACCAGGCTCAGGACAGGCGGCCATCTGCCTCGACCGGCTGGGTTTGGGGACAGGAAAGACGCAGACAAACACAGGACTGGTCCAGGTGTATTTTCCTCTGCAAGAGAGACAAAGAAAACACATTATTGATAGAATAAAAACAAACAAATAAAGAAGAGACTAAAGATTATAGAGTGAGGAAATGTGGTCAGTTTATGCTCCAGTAGTCTAAGCCTAAAGCAGCAGAACTAATTAACTATAATAACGAAGGATTAACTCAGGAAGCCTAAGTCTAATTATATGATTTACCAAAAAGTTCTGTGTTTAACAGGAAACTTGTATTAAACCAAATATTTTAAATGTCTTATTTGTAAGGCTGATAAAGATGGACAGTAACTGGCCTTTTATTGGAATTAGTCTGTTTTATCTTGACTAGTCATTTTTTATTATCTCTCATGAAAATCTGAAAATAATTGTCAGACTTGTATCTACAATTAGTCAACGTTTAACGTCAGTTAACATGATTCAAGGTGGCCAACACAGCTAATGAACACAAAACAATGCTATAATTCAGCCAGTTTAAAATGTTAATTGTTGACAGTTTTTTTTCCTGACAAGTCTTTGCAGACGATACAATTATGCCCAGCCCTATTCACCGGTAGTTAAATGTGCTGGCACACAGTGAGCTCAGTCTAACTTTAAAGTCCGACACACTTGGATGTTGTCAGTGTGGGAGCTCTTCAAAGTGCGTTCAGGAGACACAACACGGACAGTTTGTGCTGATGCTTTTATTACTTCTTTTGCATAATTGAATGTTTGAGAGCCAGCACAGCCTTTTTCCTCTCAGTGTTTAAGATATTCAGATTCAGGATCAATAGCTTATTAGCAAAGCAAAAAACAAATGATGCACTTAATGCAGTTTGAAAAGTTGGAGAAGTTACAACTACATTTTTATTAAATCAGGACATACTCTGCAACTAAACATTAGAATAAACCTTTTTTTGCTGCATTGTGGTGCTTTAAAGAGCTACAAATGTTTTCACTTCTGTTGTAATGAAACAACGATGCACAGTTATCCTTCATGTTTCTTTTAATCAGCTAAGAAAAGTGAATCTAGTCCATGGCATTTCTAACTTTGAAGCTACAGCGTTAAAAACTCAGAAAATGTCAGCTGTGCAATGAGCTTATCACAACACTTAGTCATGTAATTGCAAATGTTTAAAAACATGATTAAGCCTGCGTAATTGTTTAATTGTCTCCAATTACCTGCATTAAATCAAATGGGTGCAAATAGCAGAATTAACATAAATCCACATAATTATTTTCAGTATTTGACAAACAGACTGGAGGAGCAGATGTCTTGTTACTGAACTTACCTCTTTGCATGTTTTTGGTTCTGCTATGAGCATTTTTCACCTATAATTTGTTTTTGATATTGATGTTAGGTTCATTTTTTTAAATAAACTTCTTTTTGTAAGGAATAAAACTTTAATCATCATAATAACTAAAAAATATTGAAAGTCCAGGTGTTCTAGGCAGAGTAGCAGCAGGGTTAACAGAATATAAGACTAATGGGGCAAATCTGTTTTTATGTAGCCTGTTTTACACCATCCTGCTGCTCTTTCTTCACTTTTAGCACATTAATATCTGTTCAGTCTGACCAGAGCAGTAGAGGTCGTGGTGAAGTGTAGCAGCAGGCTCTATGAAGAGGGCACGAAATTAAATTACCCGGTTGCTCCTGCAACCTCAGTTCAGCTGGGTCACTCTCACCTGAGTGAGTGAACTCAATGAGGGTCTAGAGCAGAAACAATTGCTGCAATTTCATTGAGACTCCCTCATCAGTCTGCACAGTGAATTGTTTCCATTACTTCACCTCCAGTTGCTGAAACAATTTTAAAGGAAAACTACAAAAAACAAAACAAAAAAAAAAAACAACAAAGAAGTAAAGCCCTGGTAGTGTGGGAACTACGGTTACTGGCCTGTGATTAAGTCCTACTGAGCCTCTTAGGGGCCAATTGGATTTTACTGGTGTCTGAGTTTGAAACAGTTCGTCGTATTTGTTTAGTACCGAGCTTTTGCAGAAAAAGGCAAAAAGTAGGACGCTTATATTACAAAGTCTAAAGAAGACAGGTGGAATAAGACAAGTTCTATACTGGATTTGTAAACAATTTCACCAAGCCCCTTAAAAACAACAGTTATTTGCAAAAGCAATTTTTTTATTACAAAAAAAAAAGAGAGGGCTGGTGTAGGAATTGTCGGCAGACCAAAACTTATTATTGCCTACAAAACTGCTGGGCCTGCAGAGCTGTGTGCTTTCAGATGAGGTCTATATTCTGTGTGCAGTAAAGCTGAGTAATGGGCTCAGACTAACATTAGAAATAGGCGCTTGTTGTAAAACAAACAGCAGTAACTCTAAATAGAACACCTCATTCGTGTTGTAAAGGTTTGTTTGCAGTACAGTGAAACAACATTTATATGGAAGCTTCAGACAATGAAAGCAATAATACTAGCATTCACTGAGGGATCTGTGAACACACCCAGTTTTAACCCAGACTCTAAAACTGACTGATTTATTGTCAGTGCCAAGGTCGATTAGTCGAGGCAGCCATCTTGAATCAGGTTGACTTCTGAGCGTTTCATTAAATTTGGTCCTCTGGTTCTTAGGGCAGGGTGATATTGTTCATATCGGTTGATATTGATAATTATTGATTAGTTTTTGTTTGTCCTTTTTGGAATAAGGACCCTCTGCCATGAAAAGTGGGTGATAGTGTAGTGGTCTAACACCTCAGTGTTCACCAGGATTCATGACATCAATCAGCCTAATTGTTATTTCCTGGTCTTTGTTGACTTCATGAATTTGGTTTAATTGTACATTCTAATTTGATTGAAAGGGGATTTTGTTTTAATTTAATTTTTTTTCTAATTTATTTCCATTTTAAATTAGACATACCAAAAAAATAATGTGCTTTGCTAGCCCCGTAAGCTGCAGCCAAGTGTTTCAACTCAAAATCAAATGAAGCATTGTGTGCTCCCTTTCTCTCCCTGCAGAGATGATCTTGTGCAGGTGGGGGTCGGCCCCTCTAATCACACGCTGACGGTGAGAACCGTCAACGTGGGTCTGACGCTTCTCGCAGCGTGGGACAACGAGAACATGGGCGTGGCAGATTACGTTCCACTTCCTGTCCAGCACGCCATCTACATGGACGAGTCCAACAAACTGGTGGTGGGAGACGTGGTCTGCTTCCACGTCCAGTTAACGAGCCCAGATGGTGAGGGGTGTCAGAAACCCTGCAGTTCTGTCTTAAACCTGTTTAAATTCTAGTTCCACCTTTTTTTCAGAATGGGTTAATTTTATTTATTTATTTTACCTTGCACATTGTGTCAAAGCAGATGATTATTTCGCCTTGTTTTGTAGGTGTTCACGGTACATGGAGCTCCTCTGCAGACGGGGTACTTCAGGTGGACCCTAAGAGTGGTGCGGCTGTAGCCAGAGACTCTGGGACCGTCACTGTATACTATGAAATACCTGGAGTTTTGAAAACCTACAGAGAGGTCAGTTCTGTGCTCACAAGTTGCAAATGGAAACGCTCTCTTATCTCGATGAAACATTAATCAGCGCAGAATCAGAAGAGGTGTGAAGATTTACCTGCTCTGACGTGTTGCTGTCACTCCAGCAGCAGGATGGTTCTTATTATGTGGCCCAGATCAAAATACGTCCAAGTAGCCTACCTTAGTAGGGTTTAAATTTCAAAATAATCTGACTCGTATCACAGTTGTATCCACACTGCTGCATACTTTCAGACAGTCTTTGTGCTGATTTAGTCTGTTTTTTATTTCCTCCTCTGTAGAGCAAGGAGCTCGGGGGCCGGGGGGAATCCGGCTACTGCAGGACTGTTCAAGTGGCGAGCCGCCAGTGAATTATTTTTATTTATTTTTTACCTAATTGAATATAAAATAGACATTAAATCAATTTTAAAAATTGACTTTATGATTTAGTGCAGCAAAATAAAATAATTTGAAAGGTAAACAAACTTGTTCTTTTACAAAATGCAGTGCAGTAACCCCCCCCGGATGTCCGGCCCCTAAGCTGTTGGCTTTGAATAACTCTGGCCCCATGAGCAGTTTAGTTGAACAGTCTTGGGCTACGGTGTTTGACTTAACAAACCTGTGGCTGGGCGGTCCTGGAAGGTATCGATCAGCACTTTATTCTAATCTGTTGGAGACACTACTCCGGACCACCTTTTTAGAATTCAGCAGTACAAACGACCTCGCTCAGAGGTACAGAGGCGCCTGAAAAGGTGTTTGGGGGGTTTAGGTCCTCCCTCTCTGCCTCCGTGTGTCTACTGAATGAACTGAGGTGGTCAGTGTCAGTACGAGGTGTCACTAATATTTTATCCACTAATGTTTTATGTAAGAAAAATTCGTATTCAATAGAATGAAGTCAATTTTAAAACCACCATTGTTAAATAAAATGATTTGTAGAAGGAATAAAACCATACAACACCAGAATTCTGGGACTGAGTGAGGTTTAATGTCACCAGAGCTGACGGGAAACCACACTGGCGAAAAACCAGGAACTTAATCAATTTATACAAGGTCTTCAATGCCTGCGTTTGCCCCCTACTGACCTACGGCTGAATCACAGGCATTCATACAAAATTCTCACCTACTGTTCTCATAACGGTTGATTATGTGTTGTTATATAATTCGGACATGCAACTGAACCTATTTCAATCAAAACATAATAGATTAAACATTATCAACATTATAAAAAGGAAAACCTAAAAATATAGTGTTGTGCTTTTAACATCAGTACTAACCTCTAATAAACATAAATTTATTAAATTAAGTAATCAAACATAAAACAAGCATGCAGGGGAAAAAACTGCGTAATTCTGCAAACTGGAAAAGTTTCTTATTCCTTAGTTTAGTTTTGGCAGAGATTTGTACAGAATTCGGAATGAATTATAGTAATATATTCCTCATCACTTCTCAGAAACAATATCTTTGACAAGTAGGAGTACAGACCCTTACTGTTCTTAACCTCACTGACTTAATGAAAAGCTGATCGTAGGCAGCAAAACTAAATGAATCTTTCCTTTCTGCAAAGTGCGATTTCATGAGAAGTAGTATTTAATGTACAGTTAAGTGGTCTCAAGTGTCTTCAGGAAATGATCTTGATGAAGGTGTTTCTCTATCAGTGTGCGAGGAAGCATTAATGCAAGCAGCAAGGTTTCAGTTCGTTTCTCTGATGTGATTGATGCAAACAATTAGCGGAAGATGTAAATTTGATCGCTGCAACGTACACACACCTGAGAAAGATCTGTCTTCTGTGTGTGTGTGTGTGTGTGTGTGTGTGTGTGTGTGTGTGTGTGTGTGTGTGTGTGTGTG